GAGGGGGTCTCTCCGGGGCCTGTCGTTGCGCGCTTCATGTGAGTTTGAATGCTCGGCCTCGTCTGAACCCGCTCTCTGTCGGTTTGTTCCCTTTTCGTGCCGTGCGCTGTTCACCGCAAAAGCTGATTGCCGGTAAAAGGGTGGTTTTAAGTAGTATCGGTGGTGTTCGCTCGCAGATCACGTTCACAAAAGAGAGGAGGAGGAGGAATTTACAGTAATCGCCTCTCCTTGGAAAGTCACATCTCTGTTTGCGTATTGTTACCACTATTTTATTTATTTATTTACTTACTTTACCAGTGCTACCGCCAATTTTTCAGTTTTCCTTTATGTAATTCTTGAGCCTAAATTTCTGTTTTGTTTTCACCGTTAAGGTGAAACAATTCTTTGCTTTCGAAAGGCTGTTCAGCCCCCACGCGTTTCACAGATGGCTTCTGGAGTGAGGGACGGCAGGTGCAGCAGCAGAGGAGTGTTCCAGAAAGCAAGGTATGCTATCCCCTTCTGATGGATTCCTGTGCAGTCAGTGATGGATACCAATACAGTGAGCTGCCCACAGGCATCGGGACCAGCTGAACTCCACCCTGAAAGTCATGGCCCGAGCTTCTCAGTGGGCCTCACTAATCTGGATTAAGATCTGTGGTACAGCATCAAAACAGCATTTAAACAAAGCTGAACCGTCCACATCATCGAGCTTGGCGCGTGGGTGGAGCAGGCTGTATTCATGTCCTAAGAGTGGGAGGACTGTGTCATCCCACCCCCAAGTAGGTAAAGGCACGGGATTGGCTGAACTGGTGTCCATAAAAAGCTTATACCTTTGGAAACATTGATATGCTGTGGGGTTTATCACATAACTGCACACGTTTGCTGTGTGAGTATGTCTGGAAATGCACTGTATTGTCTAGGATTATGATGAGAATATGGTGAGTTAAAAAGCTCATAAATTGTGATAAGGAAATAGTAAAATGATAATTTTAAGTAACAGTCTGGCTGCAGTGAATCACACCACTCCATCTCAGGCTATGGACTGAATTTTGGGAGTTTAGTTTTGCCTTTTTTCAATAGTCACATTTTACTTCTGTCTAACAAATGTAATACTTTTTTCACATTATGGGAGATATTCCCCATCACGTCAGCCAAAAAGAGCTCTGGGAAACATTTTGAGGAAGAGAGAGGTAAAAATTACAGATTTTTTTTGTTTTTTCTAAACATGATCAGAGACCCAATCTAAAGGCTGCCAGTTTGCTCCCCCAGTCCCCTCCAAATTCAGGAAAGCAAGCGTTTAAATGAGTGAGTCTTGTCCTGGCTACTGGGTAGGCCGCCTGTATCTCATAACAGAAACATCACCTTGTATTTTTACTGGAACTAGGAAACTTGACCAATACATAAAATATGAGAAACAGAACAGTCACAGGCACTGCAAGAGTCAAAGACCACAAAGTTTGCGGTTTTGTAGCTATATAGATTGCAGATTGATCTTTTTCAGGCAGTTCTGCGGAAATGCACGCAAATGCTGAATTACCTGTTCTAAATGCAGTAATAAACCGGTTAAAATCCATTGGCTAATCATGGTACTGTTCCCGTAGGTAGAAAGAAGTTGCCTTTTTTTTTTTTTAAAGATATATTTGACTATCATGCTACATAGGGAAACCAAATAGCACTAACAATTAAATGGACAGAATAGTCTTTTATACCCCTTTGAGCTGATAGTGCTTTCTTTGGCTTGTGTAAAGATGGCACTCATACCACTTCACTGGAAAGATACGTTTCTGTGCCAGGTCGCTAGATTTCGCTTCTTTGTACAAGCTTTCATCTGTTATCCCCTGAACAACTTCATGTACCTGGTCTTAGGATCAGCTTTATATGTAGCAATACACAGAGATGATATCAGCCAGTTGATACTGAACTGCTTGTAGCTTACTTATTTCTGTGATTCAGTAGTTGTGAACCTGAAGATATTTTGTAATGAAATAGTCCCCTAAGACGTCAGGAACTGCTGCAGCGTTTCAAGTGAATTTCTCATGCTTGTAGCTCTCAGTTTGAGATTCATTCAAATTGAAAGGATTTATACTCTTGATTCCTCCTTTGTCACCAACATCCTTTTCTTCTGAGTTGGATTTCTGATCATTAATTTTTTGTGAAAGTTCAAGAGTAAAATTCTTCCAAATGAACAGAGAATTTGGCACGTTAAGTTTCTTGCAGCTTCTTCTCGATATATAGGGTATTGTATCACACGTAGGTGCAGAGGTGCATATAGCTATTTGGTATTAATCATTCGTTATTTACCTGAGGCTGATGGAGCATTCAGATGCGTCCAAGTGCATTTTATTGCTGCATATTTCACAGAATTACAGAATCGCAGAATGGTTGAGGTTGGAAGAGGGACCTCTGGAGATTATCTAGTCCAACCCCCCCCTTCTCAGGCAGGGTCACCTACAGCATATGGCCCAGGACTGTGTCCAGATGGCTTTTGAATATCTCCACGGAAGGAGACTCCACAGCCTCTCTGGGCAGCCTGTTTCAGTCCTCTGTCACCCTCACAGCAAAGAAGTTTTTCCTCAGGTTCAGACGGACCTTCCTGTGGTTCAGTTTGTGCCCGTTGCCCCTCGTCCTGTCTCTGGGCACCACGGAGAAGAGTCTGGCCCCATCCTCTTGACACCCTCCCTTCAGATACTTGTACACACTGATAAGATTCCTCCCTCAGTCTTCTCTTCTCCAGGCTGAAGAGGCCCAGCTCTCTCAGCCTTTCCTCGCAGGAGAGATGCTCCAGTCTCTTCATCATCTTCATGGCCCTTTGCTGGACTCGCTGCAGTAACTCCATGTCTCTCTTGCAGTGGAGAGTCCAGAACTGGACTTAACACGCCAGATGCGGCCTCATCAACTCATTTAAATGAGTTATTTGAAATATCTTTCCACTTCTGGATTAAGTATTTGCTCCAGCTTCAGAATGATCGATTGCAGCAGACTGACTATCGGTAAGAGGAACAAGCAGCAAGAAGGGCAGAAGAATGACATGTTGAGGCTCTGCTTATTCTGTGGATGGCAAAGCCAATTCTTAAAGAAATTATTGTGCTGAGAATATTTGTATAGCACAATCACACACTATAGTTATTCATCTCATAATAGTGGATGCATGACTGATCTTACAGGAATTTGGTGTGAACCATCAGTGGTTCTTTTGGAAGTAATAAAATAAATCAGTGATTGTGATGGTGATGTAATAGGCTATGTCAACTTTCTGACTTGAAAATAGAAAGTTATGTTATGAATTACCTGGAGATGAAGAACTTCTTTTCCTCTTCATATTACAAGCAAGCATATCACGTTCAGACAGCCCAGAGACCTCATTAAAATGCAAGTTTATTTCTCTAGCAATTTCAAATGCTTTGGAGTTCAGAAGCAGACAGGCTTTGGTCAGGCTTTTCTCATTTGTTTCCATGCTCGCAATCACCATGCTCTTCATCTTCCACTTTATGGGGGAACGCCATCACAGTGACCACCGCCTGATTGTCTTGCCCACCTTGGTGGCCTACTGAGGCAGATTAACAGCTGTCCCAGGAAGCTGCACTGGAAAAAGAAGCCACAGTGTCCAAATGGCCCATAGCTCAGCTTTGGACTCGAAGGGGATACAGGCACTCTCTTAGCAGTGATGGCATCTTTTGTGATGGTTGCTGCCCTTCTGCTTTCTTGCAGATGTGGCATCCGCTGTGCCACTGGATTGCCTGCCTGGACCATGGTGGGACCACTTTCACAGTGCTGCAAGGGGCTGTGGCTCCCAGGCTGGCCTGTGAGTCCAAGGTGACACTTTGGCTGCAGTGGGTCATGGCAATAGTGTGTGTCCAGGAGCAAAATGAGTGGGATGGCGGGAGTAATTGTCTTTCAGTGCGTGGCAAATGCTGGGTGAAAAGCAATAGACTGCCAGCGCCTCTCCGCTTTATTTGTTTCCCCCCAAACCTAATGGCACTTTTCAGCAGGTGTAACTTTGCCACCTTTCCTGCTTTTTTGGGATGTGCTTGTGATAGCTGTTCCAACAGCTCCCAGGAGAGCTCAGAAGTCTTGGACTGAGTGGTTTGCAAAGGAAAATTGTAGCTGACAGATGGCTGTAGTCCCATCA